TCAGGATTGACCTGGAAGAGAAGGGTCTAAATGTTTGCAGATGAAATATGGTGGTACTAATCTGGGAGATGATGAGAACTTGAGAGTGCAGAGAAGGCTTTGACGGGCAAGAAGTAAGCATACCAATACATGTGTTATGGTAGATAGAAATAGTGCAGTCTGATCATTCTGTGAAAGAAAAGCTAGGAAAGTGGTGAAAAAGAAAAAAGCTGAGAGAAAGAGTTTAAAGTCATGCAGATATAGTGAGTAGTACTTGATACAATTTTTTGGTATTTTATATGGTAAAAAGGACTAAGAGTTCTCACATAACTTAGAGGATTCCTTTGAAAATTTTAAAGTTCATATGGAAGTGTCAGGACAGAATCTGAATTCCCCAAAGTACAAAAAGAAGCTGAATTTGTGACTTTTTTCTCCTACATAACCTAATCTTGAAAATTCTTGTCTCACACATGGTAGCAACAAAACTTAAGGAAACTTTGCTTTGAGATTTCTCAGTTGTGTTTTATGTCTTTCACTCAATATCGTGATCATAAAAGATTTTTGAAGGAGCTGGGGGAGTAGTAAATGATGGAATTTTTGCTGTGAGTGTTGAATTAGTCTGCAGGGTCATAGAAACCTTCATGTAAATATTCCAAATGCTTGAAAAGTAGTATTGTCGTCATAAATAAACAACTGAATTTACAGTCAAATTGACTGGGCCCAACATTTTGAAGAGCACACTGATCTGTGGGGACAAGGAATTTGTTGGTCTTTTGCTGCTTTTTGGTCACCCTCAGAAGGTGAATTCAGTGGGTTTCTTGGACTGGCTTAAGTCAGCACAAGCGGGAGAACTTTCTGCTTGTGTCAGTAGCAAGCCACAAAGGAGGAGTGCATGCTGCTGCTGCTCAGGTGAATGAGAAAAGTATTTGAACAAGTTTGGTATCTGTGTAAATTGATAATGTTTTAGAAACGGAATGCTAAAAACCAGTTGCTTAAATGTACAGTACTGCTTCAAACTACAATTTTCCTTTGAACAATGTTTACTGAACAGTCAGAAATTCAGTGTTCTGTGTTAAGTAATCTAGTACTTGCATACTTAAGTAAAGATGTTTTTCCTTTTTTATTTCTATATAAATAAGGATATATATGCAGACTGATTACAGTAAAAGTACTTTAGAGTTGACTTTATATGCTTTTTTTTTCTGCATTGATATTTTTGTTTGGTTCAAGTAGTACTATCCTCTTTGAAATAATGCACCATCCTTCCTGTCTGAGCAAGTCCATTTATTGACTAAATGTTGGCTGATGTTCCATTTCCTTTTGATTCTTGCTTATAGTAGGGTGGTGAAAGGATACCTAACATCTATCCCGAAAGTGGTTACGAAGTATTTTGCAAAGAGTTTCCTGGGACAAGAAAAGTGAACTTTTTCTGCCTTGTTTTTGTCCATTCTTTAGCCAAGACAATCGTAAAGACATTTCCTCTCTGTACCAATTGCAGAACTTCAATTTGTTTTGGTTTTTTTTTTGATTCCCCTCTCCTGTTAAGGCACTTCTTGCCTGTGTAGTATGAAGGATGTGTCCTGTGTCTTGGTTTTGCCATCACTGTAATCCCAGTTGAGTCTGGATTGTTATATTGAAAGTTAAAAGAGTAACTCCAGTGTTTGTTTGTTTGTTTTTAACTGAAATTGAGGAGTATTGCAATGCAGGGGTTTGGAATTCTGTAACTGCAGTACTGAGATTTAGTGTGTACGCTTGCTGTTTCTGTAACAGGTAGGAACTGGAGGAAAGCCTGAAAGATCCACTGTCAGACACTAGAATTTTTAAAAGTAAGTCTTGTCTTCTGTTAAATCTTGCTAATCTTATGAACGTAACAATAAGCATGCTCATACAGAAGTGTGTTTTGCTGCATCTTTTTAGAATACACTGAAGTTAGTATCCCCTAGCATTTCCTTATTCCGTTTTGTTCTGTTTTTCTATTGCTGCATTCTTTTTTCTTTTGTTACCACTTTCTGGTCTCCAGGATGATGTGCAGGATGGGGGAGGCAGGGAGGAGGAGCTGCTTGTTCTGTAATTTTTGGCTTGTACTGTGTTTCACTGTTGGAGCTTAAAATGTTCCTACTGTCTAATCTCAGGGAAATGTGAGTGTGAAGTCTTACTTCTTTCTTTTTGAAGACACTTTCCAGTGAAGTGCAGTGCCTACTCCATTCTTCAGGCAGTCAAACAGTCCACTCTTCACAAAAGCTTTACAGAATAATCTAGCTGTGCATGAGTCACCCGCACTGACAAATGTGAGCATCAGAAGCACTTCCACAGCTGCACAATCAAGGATTGTGCAGTATACTTGAAAAAAATAAAAAGCCCATCACTAAATATTTGTAAAGTGTTTTATTTACATGTTTGCATTTCTGCATGAGATGGGTAATTGAGTTTCAGATTAAATACTTGCTTTCTGAAACACCTGTCACTTGTTCTTGGGCGTTGCTGTTAGCAACTGTACTAATTTTTTTTATCTATGTCCATTTAGTACACTTGTGCAATTCTAAGAGTTATAAATAGCTGCTGTGGGTATAAATCATTCTTTCATTCAATTGTCTTAGTTACATATTATTTATTTAGGTGAATACCCTTGTATAAGTATCTGTGCTGAGAATCATCTTAAAACAGTTGCAGTTCATGCTCATTAACATCTTATTTGATAGATAGGTTGATAACTACTTAGCCACATTGTCAGGTATTTATACTCCTGTGCTTTATATTTTGCTTGTATTTCCCATTGGCTTTAAGGCTGAATTCTGGTTTTGCTTTCATATCCAGAAGCTGATCCATAAATCTGAATCGGTGTATATAAACAAAGCTCATTCTGTCCAGAAATTTCATTTGCAGCAGTGCATGGGAGAGAGTACAGATGTTTCATTTAAATATGAAGCAGACTTCTCAAGTAGTACCTATGGTGCTTGTTTCTTTGAGCACAAATGTGAATCTTGTTTTTCCTCATTTTGTTCTCTGGTTGTAATTTAACACATAGTGTAGGTCAGCATGAAATGGCACTGTTGCCAAAAGATGTCTAACCTGGTGATTCACTGCTTCCCCTTCCCCTGTGCCAACACAGCTTTTGAGCAGCCATATGGTGAAACAAATGTAGTTGATTTAGCTGAATGAAACAGTATTTCAGTTAGTTTTAGGCTGGACCAGTTTTAGGCTGTGTTGAGTGTGTGGTCACACATACTAATGCTAGCAGAAAAGAGGGAATTTACGGTTGTGGAAATGGTAGGTCAAAGGCTAACGTTATGAAAACTTTTGCCTTGGCTAAGGAGTTTGGTGAAAGTGTTTGCAAATATAAATAACAGGGTGTGAAATGCCTAGTATCTGTAGCCACCTAGTTACCTGCATGGTCTATGTATATATTGGCGTTGCTCTCTTACGTGGTAATTCTTCATCTGCAGACTGAGTCAGAGGACGTACTTAGTCTGTTTCTCCCACATTCTAGGTGAATATCCTGTCCAAGAGTTAGGAGTAAGTCTGTCTCCTGTTAGAAACCAAAACAAAATGGCCAACAAAAACCAGACAAACTGAAAACAAACAAACAACCCCCCCCTTGAGTTCATTTCACTGAGTTGTCTGTCATGTCCTGCTGCTTTCTCTGCCCCCTCCACGCCTTTTTAATGCATGCATAACTGAGAAGCAGTAAGATGTTTCTGGAGGTGCTAGCTAATGCTGTCTTAAAGGAATAAGTTGCTTACATGAAATAGTTGGGTGTCCCTTAGAAAGTAAGGTGACATAAAGGAAACAAAATTGATTAAAGACTTATAGCTGTATCCTTAAAAATTCTCCTAAATAGACTGAAAAGGCATTTGGTGCAGAAATAACTTGCATAATTTAACTTCTTATAGACCCTCTTGGCCATCTGTTGACTTCTTGTATTTCTGAAGATTTTAGAAGGCAATAGTGAGATCAGAGCAAGAAATTTTGACTGAATGTTTTTTCAGATTAGTTAGTACTCTTTATGTACAAAGTGTTCATTTGGATATAAAAGTTAATAAATCTTCACTGGGTAAATTTTTCTGGCCTAGGATAGAATTTTGGAAAGACTAATTTGTGTGAGTTTCAAAAACTGCTCTTTGGTTACCTTCCCCAACTCGCAAGATACATTTGCATTCTAGAAGCCTGGCACTTAAGGGGTTCACCTAACATGTAGGTTCATGTTTTCTGCAAGATTAATTGTAGTGGATAGCTGAGTGTTGTTGCAGTAATAATAAATGTAAAGCCTCATTTTCTAAATTTAAACATGAGTTTGTATCAGCACCAAGCAGAAATTTTGTATAGAGTGGAAGAAAAATTTACTTGTTGTTATCTTGTTTTGGATGTGTAATAATTATGTCTGTTTAATTTGATAATTAATTTTCTCCAGGACATTTTTCAAGAATTAGTGTACTTTCTGTATCTAGACATTCTTCCCTCTTCTTGGGGGGGGGTGGGGGAGCAATGTTTAATTCTTTGATCTGTCTCGTTTCTTGGTGAATTTTCCTATGTATATTTTTCAGTGTAGGAATAAAATGTTCAGTAAAATTTTCCTCTCTGGTGAGATTTAAGAGGATTCTTGGTGTTGTTTATGCTCTGAGGAAAATGTGACACACCATTTTTGACAAATTGTTTAAGCTATCTGATAGAAAGCATTTAACATTGTTAATATTCTGTTTTATAAATATGCACAATGTTAATTGGATGACAATTAGATGGACACATTTCAAAGTGGTGTTACCTCCAGGATAGATATCTTGGTACCCTATTTTGAAGTTTTTTTCTTATATTTCAGTTAATACTGAGAAATCGTCAAGAGTTGGTTGGTTTTTGTCTGGTAATTTGGTTCTGTAGAAAGCTGTATGTATGCAGCAGATAATTTTCTGGGATTATCAGTAATATTCAGCTTTTTGAGCATGCCTGTTTGGTATTTTTTCCCCTTTTGGACTCATAAACCTCTGTAAATTGCCTACCTTCTCATATCCTTTTAAGAACCTGAAAGAAGGAAGCGGGGATTTTTTGTTTGTTGTAAAATATACCAAGTTTAGATGCCTCCTGCGGGAGAGAATCGCAGGCTCTCCAGATTTTACATCATCTGTACCCCTTTTTCTGCAGCACTGTGAGCGTTAATTTAGGATCTGTTCTTGAGCTGGCTGCCTGCATGTTGGTTCTGTCCAGGATTCCATTAAAGGAAGCAGAAATTTATGGAGGTGTGAAGATTTTCAGTTTTGAATTGTAACATTAACAGGTTAGCTGCTTTTGATTAAAACCCATGATGTGAAATACTGGAGTTGGTTTTGGGGTGTTTTTGTTAAGCACATTTTAAGGAGGCAGTAGGTGTGTTTTTCAACCAGGCTTGACTGTGAGCTGAATTGTATTTTAAATGTGCACATACGATGCATACTCTTACATCTAACCCATGGTTCCCTGGTACAGATCCAGCAGTGGCAGATGTAGTTAAGAGATTCCTGCTCTTTTTTGTTAGAGGGGTGCTGTTCTTCAGCTGTGCCAATTTTCAAAGGTACACGAAGCCACACTTTCTAATAGAAGCAAGACAATAAAGATTGTTCTTAAAAGCATGTGATGTGTGGGTTCTTTTAGACACATCATTTCATGAATCTGTTTGTGTGTGGCCGGAGCTGAAGGAGTGCCACCTCCAGTGAGAGCCAAGGAAGAGTGGCAAGAAGCAGGGTGGAGCCTTATAAAAATGGGCACAAGTGGAACTGTAACATGTAGCCACAGTCTTTCTCTTGTACAGGCTAGTTGCGCAGGATTTACAAGCATTATTTCTGCCACATTTACGGCTTTGTTCTTAAAGGAAGGGGATCTCCAGTAAGGAACTGAATACAAAGGAGAGAGAAAATACTTGAAGTGAGAATACACAGAAGAATAGCAATTGTTTCTTATGGTCAGGATATTAAATGCTGTCTTTCAAATACATCTTACAAACTTAGTTAGGTTTGTACTATTTTTTTATTATCCTTTATGATTTTCTGAGTCAGGGAATGTGTTTACTGATGAACTATGAATATCAGTATTATAATCACTTAGTTTTGATTTTTGTTAATTATTTGAAGGAGACACGTAAACAACATGTCAGCTGTCTCCAGATGTAATTAATTTCGATCCTAGAAGGCAAAAATAACACAGGCAGCCCAGAAAGGGATGGAGGGAAAAAAAGCCTGGTAGGTGCCTCAGCACCCCACAGCCAAGGGCCAGTTATTAAAAGCCAGGCTCAGACAAGAGCCCAGATTGCCAGCAAGTTCCTGGTGAGCAGTCAACTCTGAGGACAAGCTAAGAAGTCAAATCAGCAAGTCAAAGGCCACATCAGTGGGGTATATGGGCCAGTCTCCAGTATAGCCTAGGCAAAGAATCTCAGTCTTCTTACAGCTTTCGTGCACATATCTTCATTGCTGTTGATTAGAGAGCTGCACTGTATTGGGGAGAGAGCTGTGCGCTCATCTCTGGGGGGGGAAGAGCTGCAGACTCCAGAGAAAAGTGGAAAGGTGGCAGCAGAACAGCTGGGCAAGCAGAAATCAGCCCAAATGATCGGGAACAGAGGAGTGGTGGGCAGCGGTGTTTAGCCATGAGATAGAGATGGAAATTACAAGCTGCCTTCAGTCCCAAGTTACAGAGCAAAGTTACCTCATGATGGCTGGAGAGTCTAATGCATGAAGAATGCAGGAGAGAATTGCATTTTCCTCTAATCCTCATTATCCATATTTCTGTGGAGGTATTATTTACATTGACTTACCCAGATTTGTCAGAGCATCTTGCAGAGGTCCATTACCTTTGCAGGGAGTAGACAAGCACATATCTGTGTGACAAACGAGTTCTAAGAACTTAACCTCTTTTTACCTCTGTGGTTGCTACCTTGTCTCCCACTCAGTTATCTATCTGTAGGCTGTTCCAACTGCTGCTGTTTGTTTCAACTATGTAAAAGTAGATCTGTGAGAAAATAGTATGCACTTCTTGTGCCTTATAACTTCACTAAATCTGTGATATCTCTGACCACTACCACAACAGGCCTCCTGACAGGCAGTTCATCTCTCCTATAGACTGCTTGGACTTACCCTCGTCCCCAAAAGTCACTCAGGAACAGACTTAAGACTGGATGAGTTACTCTGATAATGGCAACCCACATCATTTACCTGTCCTGCTGCCCTTTCTTCTTCACATTGCACACTGTCCTTATCTACTCACTGCAAAAGTAATGGACCTGTGCCAGCTGCTGTGCCAGAGTAAGCTATTCTGTCCACTCACAAATTTTCGTGATGAAAAGCCATCTGGGATGAAGTGCATGCCTGTGCTAGAAGCAGCCCTCTCCTGCTCTCTTCTGTGAAGCAGGTGAAGATGTACGCCTGCTGTTATAGCATGTTTATCTGCAAAAAAAAAAAGACATTTCTGGGATGTGTCAGCTTTTCCGCATGAGCACAAACCGAAATTACAGTTAATTTGTTGACATGGTAGGGAAAAGGTGGTAATAATATGACTACTTCCAGAAAAACCTTTTCAGCTGCAGAGTTTGGATAGCATTTCTTGAAATTCTTTTCAGCCCAGTTTTCAGGTATTTTTGTTTGTTACGCTTTGTTTTTTGGTTTTGATTCTGATGTAGAAAATGAAAGAGACATATGTCACTTTTAAAAACATAGTATTTTAACTTTAGCCTTTGATCAATTAGTCGTTACCCTAATTTGCTTTCCATTGATGTGTATACCATTGCAATCAAAGGAGCAAGGATGTTGAAACATGTTAACTTGTTACATTAAGCCAATCTGTGTCTGATTAGAGAGCAGGTTATGGCTCAATTGTCTAAAGATCTCTTGCTTTCTACAGAAGTTTATGGTTGCTAAAGTGGAACTAAACCAAAGCAAATTCTTCCCCTTTTACCCCACCTCCAAAGAAGAAAAACTTAAAAATGGTTGGGCTGGAGGTAAAACCTCTGAAGCAAAGAGCAAAATGGAATGTATGAGTGATAGTGATGCACTGTTCTGGGCATAAGGTAGTGGATGGACCTCTGCCTGTCCATTATGGTGTAATGTCCTAGTAGAGTAAAACCCCAGAAGTTCATAATCCACATTATCAGAAGCAAATGTTTCTTTATACCTAGAAAGGAGTATCAAGAAGGTTTATAATTATCCTCAGAATCTGTATAAATAGAGCTTTTGGTGTTGTGCTTCTGTTGGGAATCAGGTTCTGGCTCAGCTGTTTGCACACAGTGTGATTTTTTGGCTCCTTGGCTTGCTTATTGTGGTATGCAACTAGCGCCTGAGCTCTGCTGGGGCATCAGGTGCTGTGGAAGGGCAGATGGGTGTGCTCTGATTTTGATTCTTTAAACAAGATCTTCTCTAAAGCTAATCCTCAGTGATTATAATAACTAGTTTGCTCCCTTGGCAAAATAGGATTATGGCACAGAGATCAGGTTGTATTAAAGAAGTTAATCTGTTTCTGTATGAAGAAACTGTAGTGCTGGAAAACTGTACTGTTTTGTATTTTTTTTTCCTGTGATCTTTCCTGGGTGACATTTTTTGTCTTGCTAATACATGTCACCTCACACTAATTCTGTATGAGGGGTGTAATCTGTAAAATAATGAAAATATTACTTAGAAAATCAAGATATTTATATAAAAATATTTATTTTTTTTTACAATATAAGGGCAATATTGATTCTTCCTCAAAAGTATTTAGCAATGTTCACATTAAGGTGAAGTGCTGGAAGCATAAGGGTTTCAATCACTGACTGTATACAAAATTAAGTACAGGCAACTCAGTGACTATTGTCCATCCATTTTTTAGCCCTTTCTTGACAGAACATCTGTCATGAGCAAGACTGTAGTGGAATTCCACTGTTCAGTCTTTGAATTTGTTTCTAAGAAGTAATGTGGCCAACATGCATGCCAGCACTGACGATAACATTAAACAGAAGTTACTAAATTCTTTCAGTCTAAAACAGAATGTTTTACCAGACTGTGAACTTTTCACTATTACCTCAGGTTGGATTGTGGCTTTTTACCCTGTGACTTATTCACAGCCTTGTGTCTTTGGCCAGGCAATAGCTTGGCACCCAGTAACTTCCTGCCTCTCCATGAGTGAAAAGTCAGCATAGTGCAGAAGTTTCAGTGTTACTAGTTTTTGTGATTTTGGTGCAGATTGAGCAATGTTATGTGTTAGGAGTTTGTATATCCATGGCAGCAGCTGTTTTATTGAGAACCTCAAATTGCTTAAAGATAGTAAGTTTCTAGCCACCTTAGCTGCAGAGAAGTTTCAAAACATGCACAGAATATGTACAAAATATAGAGTATTTAGAGAGAAATACACACAATTCTTTGTATTTAAGTAAACCTCATGGATTGTGGAGGCAGACCCATGACCTTTGAGCACTTGTGGCTGACAATACTGGCTTGCAGGCGTCTTAACCTTTCTGCTGGCTTTCACATGCATGCCATTTCTACTGAGTTAGAGATCTGTGTGGTTTTGGTTACAAAAGCTTTTCCACTGTGATAGCTTTCCTTTGGGTCTGGTTTAAGCTTGCTTGTGTTCATTTATGACCCAAACATATTCCTTTTCTCCATCTGAAAATTCCTTTTGAAATTATCATTAAAACCCTCTGGGAATTTTTTATTCTGTTTTAGACATTATAAAATATGTACTTAAGTGCAAATCTGTACTTAAGTCCTGTGTTGCTTGTCTTAAGTGTTTGTGTTCTTTTTAAAAAATACTCCTCTACATACTGCAAAGATGAGGTCTTAAATTTTCCTCAGTAGAAGTCTGTTAGGAGCTGGGTGAGAGCTGGCAGAGTTGTTCGACTGCAAGGGCTTTAAAAACACAGGTTTCATGTTGCAGTCTCTGTAACCTAGTCTTCCATGGGACTCTTTGTCGCTAGTAATGTTTGCACTTGTCAAACGGAACAAAACAGAATAGGAGAGGAGGCTGTAAGCACCTAAAAAAGTAGGTCAATGGGCCAGGAGGTTATTTGGCCAGACAAGAACGAGTGGCTTCATTGAATCATGCTGTAATTGTTTTTCTCCTGTTGGCAGATTGTTCTGCTGTGCTTTAACTTTTTTTGTTAATATTCGCGTCTCTGTTTTAACCACTTAAGAGCCTCTGTTAGGTGCAGGGAGAGGAGAAAATTAACTTTTCTAATCAGTTTCTAATTCTGGTGTTTTCTATACAATCCATTAATGAATTTAAGAGTAGCATAGGCGTAATATTTTAGATCCCAGCTTCACTTTTAAAGTTTAATATGCTTGAAAATATTTTTTTCAGAAGGGGTACAGGTACATTTTGTAGTGAATATATTTGATTTTAAGAACAGTAAGCAAGGCAAATAGATACGGGATAAAAATGAGAGAAAAAAATAATTTCATGAAACTTAAAAATGTTAAAAGAAACATGGTTCAAGGGAAGAAACTATAAATGAAATCTGATGATATAATGAAAGCTGGTGATCACTTATGCTGAGATTTTAATGGAAGAACTGCATTTGTGAAGCACGTTTGGAAGACATTCTTGAAAGTGTTTTTGAAGTGGGTTTTGAAAGAAAGGGTTAATGGCTGTGTCTGAGGGAGTAGCAATAATGCAGCTGGGCAACTTTGCTATAGTTGCCAGCAGCAGCATTCTATACATTCTGGAGTCCTGAGAGTGGCAATTCTGGAGTCTTAAAGAGAGAAGATGTAAGTGAGAAAGCCAGGAGAGGCTGAAGTAAGAGTTTCAGCAGAAAAAGTGTTTAATAATGGTGTGAAGATATACTTCGAAGGTAGCAAGTGCAGATGGTGTGTAATTTCAAAAGATAATAATGAAGATAGGCATAAAGCAGTAGCTTAAAGCAGAGGTGAAATTGTGTCAGGAGAAGAGCTTTAGAGCAAGCTGAATTTGGATAGTGAAATGTTTGGGATATTTTTGATAAGCAAAATACTCAGTTTATAAATTACTCTTGTTGGAATGATTGCTTCTGTGTAAGAACTTGCTGATTTTTAAAACTCTCCTTTTTTGTTGTTTTGTTTTTATTTTACTGTTCAGAATTTAATGCTTTTCTGCAGAAGAGGAGAGCAGCTAACTCCACATTGTGCTTCAAAGGAACCAGGTTTCACCCCTAAACCTCACACTTTAACAACTTCTGAAGTGTAAAAGGTAAAATTGTATTCTTATAATTAATAAGGTTCCTATGGGTTTCAGCTATCAACACTAAAGGGCTGAGTAGCAGTGTTAAGTAATGTCTTTTGTTCTCTAGAACATGATTGAATTAGATCTTAGAAATGGACATAGTCCTTGATTTCTGTAGTGTTTGCTTTAAATGTCACTGGTTTCATTGGAATTATTTCTGTAGTCATATCCATTGGCATGTATAAGAGCTAAGAATGTTCAGCACCTTGCAAATTTGGATGCAAAGGCAGAAGGATCTCAGACCTTGCAAACTGAGAAACAAATGCACTACATTTCCTCTAGTCGTTTAAGTTCTAGTAACTACTTGTCTTGGATACCAAATCAAAGTTGCCAGTTCTGACATAGAATATATATTTTGTATGTGTATGTGTGCTGTAACAAGTGAATCATTTTGTTGAATTCTAGAAACTTGAGTGCTTTATTAGAGTAAAAATACTGACTTTTAGATTCTGATTCTGCATAATGAAGATGTTGGTTATGTCACAGGTGAAAGTTTTCTGTATATAGCTGTACATGTCTTTTGCTTATTAAGGGAACAATATATCATTTGCTTATAAATTTCATATTACTCTTGATCCCTATAATGTTAGGTACCCAATTTGTTTAAAAATTAACACAGGTTTAAAAGTGTAATTAGTGCATACCTGTATTAGTGCATACTATATAAGCTACATGAAAACAGGTTTCTGTTTGTTCCCTTGATTTTAAACTTAGCTCCATGCCAGTGATGTTAGTTTGCTTTTACTGGTGTTCAACCTCTCTGTTGTTGTGTGCTTTTGACAAAAATTCAAACAAACACTTCATAATTTACTTTCCTTGTGCCTTCTGGCTGATTTTTAAATAGTGCAACTCCACTACTTCATAAAACTTTGCCAGCTAATTTGGGGGATTTAATTTGTCAGTATGGCCAGTGCAATTGTTAATTTGAAGAACTGGAATGAAAGAATCGATTGCTTCCAGTGTTTCTTCAGAGCACTAGGTTTTGAAGAAAAAAGGCAAGACAAAGTTGGGTTGTATTAATTAAAATGGGTAAGATGTCTTATGGAGCATTTGGGCAAAACCTCGTGCACACCTTGTAATGTACCTTGCAGAGAGATTATGCTGCAGTCCAGCTCTTCCATTTAATTTCCTGCTGCACTCAAATTATGAAACTTTGTGGGGAAAAATACCAGTCTTGTGACGCAAACCTGCATAGTGTGTGACTGTTGTAGACTGAGACAGTTTGGTTGAAACATAAGCTTTTGTCCTCAGTTTCCCCATATATTAAAAAAAAACGGGGTAAGATTTTCCTGGAACATTTTGCAGACTATCTGGATCATGGAGTTGCTGCCACATTCCTTGTGTTAACACTGCAAGCTCCACTGGATCTGGGACTCTCAGATACAAACAGATCTTTCCTTCTCAGAAACTATGAGTCACTGAAGTGACTAAAACCACCTCCTTTGAAATAAGTGCAATGCCTTTTTACTATTAGGTTTATAGCATAGTAAAAATTTCCAAAGATCTGCATGTTCAGCTGGTATAAAGCTTGCTGTGTGCAGTTGTTCTTTAATCACTGACAATGATCTTGCTGCTCCATTTGAGCAGCCTCTGACAGCTGACTTTTCTATACCAAAGAAAAGGGTTTAATTGTGTTGGTTTATGTTTGACTTCCAGCCTTTCTGTAACCTTTGTAATTTTGGGGTACCTAAAAGTAGGTACTTGTTGAATTAAATACTTCTTTTAATTTTATATTCCTCTTTTCACTATGAAAAGTTCATTCACGTTCTTGATTCAAAATCATATGTACAGCTGGAAAACCAAAAACTTCCTGCTGAAACTTCGTAATGAATAAGTAACTTCTCTAAGAAAGGGCCAGGCTACCTAACTCTCTCACAGTATGGAAATCTCAATCTAGTGTTGATTTCAAATGTCTATTATAGCAGTGTGCTCAAGAAAAAAAAAAGTAATAAATTATAGCTGTAAAATACTGTATCCCAGATGCTTTCTGTTTGCACAGTGTCTAAATAAAATGTATTACTACTGAGGTTTGTATTTTACATCTGTTCAATGTTCAACATTATGACATTCTTTTAGGTAAAAGTTAAAATGAAAAGTTGTATCTGATTTCAGAGCCAGAAAAAGGTTTGTATTGGTTTAGTCCAGACTTATTTATTGTGGTATTTAATAAAACAATGTTCTCTTGGACTCCCTTTCATGTAAAACAAGATATCAAAGTCCAGGTTATGATGGTAACGGAGACTGCTTTAGAGAAGGTAGGAGGGCAGAGCAGAAGGTTGGAAGAGAGGGTAAGAGCAGCTTATAAGGCAAATGAAAACGTCAGTATGCTCTAATGAACATGGTTGTTCCTCCAGAGTCACATCTTGATATTTTTTTTTTTTTCTCTTATAGGCAAACGTACAAATGTCTACCACAAGACTAAAGTGTGCTATGTTATGTTTTTTACCATAAGCACCCATAAAATGAGCTCCATTGCAGACAGGTATGTTAATAAATACTGAGAGTTTTGGGGAAATTATTCTTTAATGCTTTCTTTGATAACCTTTTTATTACACTTAATATATAAAGAATATTAATTTATGCAAAAGATAGAGTAGGTGTTTTTGACAAGGCTATTTTGATAGTTGTTAGACTTGTTGGTTTGTAGTCATTGGAAATAGTGATTGTTATTGTTTGAGATGGATCTTAATGTATTACTTGTTTTCAGTCATGGAACAAATTGAGCTGATTATTAATGTTTACTTGTTTTTTTTTTAGTAATTAAATATTTGATTAAGGATAATAAATACATTTAAACAATTAGTGATGCTGCAGATGATAGTAAGGTGACTCACTCACCTATATCAAGGGAAAAGTAATAGTTGGGAAGTTTTCTACTGGATTCCTTGAGCTGGACTTTCTTAGCAGTTTAGGTGAGCATCTGTCCTTAGTATTCTGTGTAATTCCATTTTTGAGACTTCAGGAAATTAAACTTGCATCAAATTTACAGAAACTTAAACCCAGTTGAAATAAATAACAATAAAAGCATTTATTTCCTTTTGTTTCTTTCAGAAATGATGGAAGCATTTTTGATGGGCTGGTGGAAGAAGATGACAAAGATAAAGCAAAAAGGTAAGTTTTAAAGTTATTTAAAGCTAAGAAATGTCATATACTTTTACACTTGAACTTACCGGGGTGATTTCTAAACAGTAAAAATGTGATTCTTTTATAAGTAACCATGTTATTCAACAGCATTTCTTTAACTGTCATTATTCAGATGCGCTGTGTGTCGTATCTGTGGTTCAGTGATTTGTATTTTTGGAATAGGGTGCTTTAATCCAAAGGCTTAGCTGCAAACCTCTATGAGAAGGAGGACGCCACTCTTCAGAAATGGTGCCTGAGATACAGAGTAGGTGTTTTTGTGACAGTTCTCATAGCAGAAATTTTTAAAGGGCTGTTTGCATCAAGAACCTGGCAGTAATATGGAGCTTATTATAAGAAAGTTTCATAGTTGTTATAAAACATTTTATGTTTTGTTTTTCAGAGTGTCTAGGAACAAGTCTGAAAAGAAACGTCGAGATCAGTTTAATGTACTTATCAAAGAGCTGGGTTCCATGCTTCCAGGTAATGCTCGGAAGATGGATAAATCCACTGTACTGCAGAAGAGCATTGACTTTTTACGGAAGCACAAAGGTAATTATTTGTAATAATAATGAAATATTTGTAAATTTTTATCTTTTTAATACTCAGTGCATAAAACATTCACAATTTTGCAGTTCCTTTAAGGAAATCGTCAGGAAAAAAAAAAAGTAAAGAGCTTCTCAAGAGTGATATTCTTAAGCTCATAATCTAGGTAGCAGAGATAAAAATAACGTTTTGGCTAATTTTATTTTTTCTTGTCTCATGGTTGTCAAAGAAGTATGTTTCATAAATAGAAGCATTTATTTTTTTGAAATAACTTTGAAGGTTTTTGTTCTGGACAGATGGAGCCCTTTAGAATATAATTGCTTTGTAAGGCGCAAATAAGTTTTTCTTCACAGGAATACTGCTGATCCGTTTCAGTGGAAGTACTTGCTGGAAGTACTTGTTTTGATATTTAGATAGGATTGGTTTGATATTTATGTGTATTAAAAAAATCCCTGTTCCTGCTCCTACACTTGTTCTTTATATGACATCTTGTGGTGCCATAAACGGCATCAGAAATTCAAGCAAATGAACTTTACCCATTTGCCTGAGTAATTTCTGAGCATGCATACTCTCTAGAAAGCAGTAGAGACAAAGGAAGCAGCTATAAGGTTATAAATAAAGGAAGTAAAGCTATTAAGTGGATGAATAGGTATGTATTTATCGACAGTATGCATGTCAATTAAGATGCAATAAATATTTTTTCATTCCTTAATATATGTCTTCCATTAGTGTTATGGTTCAAGTAGCATAAAACGTGTCCTGAGTAGTGCCACTAAAAGGGTAAACATAACAATTAAAATAGAGAGGGAAGAATAATTTGTTTGAGATTTGAAAGGTTTAGGATTTTTTTGCCACTTAAAGATTTATAATGCTATTTTAATGTTCTAAGGCATGTTTGTCTCATAACAAAAATAAATGCAGTGTGAAGGCTCCTTTTCTGTGAAAGTTCTGTAGGTTCAAAGGGCCTTTGTGAAAATCGGTTCTGTTTCAAAATCACTTTTTCTTATATTGATGATTCCTGTCATAAAATATAGAGTGTAGAATGAACACGTGTCAGCCAGCACCCGTCATATTTTTTTATTCAAAGTGCTTTCTAATATAATTTTTTAAATTATTATTTTAATTTTTTTTAGGATAAAGGGGTACAAAACACCTCTGGAGATGGATGCCTTTTAGGGCATGGCACTTTTGTTCTTCACGTGGTGGGACAGAGTGCAGCTTTGTGTGACTCCCCATATTATATTAATGTCTCTAAAGCTCTGGCTGCAGGTGCTTACTAGCATTGCTCTGCACTGGTTTACATTAAAATGTATTGGACAGAATATTGGCAAGGTCACAAGAATATTTTGCTTTCTGAGGTGCTTGAATCTGTTGCAGTAAAGCAGAGTGACCCTAGTAATAAATTAATTGTTCAACACTGATTAGCTATTTTTGTTGAAAATCCTATTGTGTTCAGCCATCAGGTTTTGATTAACTGCATTGCTTCTGCTTCTTTCTGGACCATTTCCACATTGGCCAGACTTGGTAGTCTGGCGATAGCTCCAGATGAACCATCTGAGCAGGTTATTGGCCAGTGTGGATTCTGTTTCTCCTTGGGAGAAAACAGCAGGCTAAGCACACTGAAATTTATATTACTGAGAGCTTCTCCTTGGCTAATACTGCCTATCCTCTTCCTTTGAATTCATAAACAAGGCATTTATGAAAATTATTAAATACTGAAAAACTTAGCTGCTTATAATTAGTGCTAGTAGACTGATATTCATACAGATGAATGCTACAGATCTTGGCAATTTCATTTGAGGATGCTCAAAGCTGATGCAAAGTGGCTTCAGGTCCAAGATTTGAAGACTAGTGTTTACTGTGCAAGTTTGGTTATGCTCGTCTGTCTGGTAGCTAGCTTAGGAACGTGACCTCAGTGCCATTTATCTTTGAATGAAACCTTCTGCCAGAATCTTGAGGCATTTTTCTGAAGTTACCAAATGCAACAAGTTATTTCCATGTTACTTGGGCTCTGTTTTTTCAGTATCATACTTGTTCTAATTACAGGAAATACAAAACAACACCTGTACTTCCAATATGAGAAGTCAAAATGATTTAGTAAAGGTGTATGAATTTCAGCTTCTATTTAGTGTAAAACCTTTCTACCATGGAAGTCAGATGAACTTACATGGACCAGAATGAGCCAGTGAATCGCTTTTCCAGTTCTGAAGTGAAGATTATCTCTGTCCTGTGGACTGAATGCATTAAATTCCTTGAATTTTGCCTCTACTTCATTGTCATTTCTGTGTCATTTGACTTGCCCCTCAGTGTTCAATGTATTTGTTCTGACTGAAAATGTATATTTTGGGTTCTACTTAGGTTATCCTTCTCCAGCCCGCTCTTCCTGCTTTGTGATAACATTTCAAAACAGCTAGCAAAAGCCTGATCAATTTATGTTTTCTTTGAGATCTGATCATTGGAAATTCTGGTGCATCTTCTTTGTTGATGGTTTTTCCTCCCTCCTTGTAGCTCTGCACTTCTTGCCAGTTTCTTGCATGACATTCCTGTTGTTTACAGATCTTTTAGTTTAGTCTAAAGCTCTTCCATTAAGTTTTTCTCCTTCAGTCTGGGAACTGAAATTCTACTCTTCCAGCCCCTTGCATATTTAACTCAATTTGATGTTTTCTGTGCTATTTGAGTCTGCACTACAGGCATAGTTTGGTTCCTTCAATTTTCTAAATACTTGATTCATGACTTCTTGTTCAAGGTTGTTCTTAACAGCCTGTACCTCTTCTGTAGTGCTGTTGTTCAAAACTGAAGTACTATGTTCAGAGGAAGCATCAGCTTTCAGAACGTGGGGCCTGGTTTTCCTTAGCAACTATCGTTTCTCTCACCTATGTATGGGAAGTTAATATATGTGTTTCTCAAGTCCTACAGGAATCTCTCTTCAAAATTCATCTCTGTGTATGAATCAGACAGTAATTCTGCAGTGAAGTCTTGTCATACAGCTCATAACAGTCTTTGTTAAAAACCTACTCTTTTTTTAATGTTATTTCTTTACACAAAAGAGTGGAAAGAATAAAAAGGACAGTGACCATTTTTAGTGCAAACTTTAGACTGACCAGGATTGGCCAGGATACTTGAGGATTAGGCGTTTTAATGACTTAAACTGATCAGGAATTTTGGCTTTCTCAGTCTTTGAAAACAACACTCTCAATAAAGTATTTTATTATAGTCTCAGAGGAAAGAGTATTTTTCCATTGTCAAAATCCATTACTTATTGGTATTAACTTCAGCATTACCTTGAAGTCTGGCAGGACTGTAGCACAAACTGGTAGAAGGAAAGAGAAGACAAATTTAATTATGACATGGGGGAGAAGACTTTGATTTCCTTTTTAGGGACCACCATCTATATGTAATGAATGAAAAACAGATGAGAACGGAGAACCTTCTGCTATTTCCTGTTGTGTGTATGCTGCTCAGTGGGAAAATAATGGCTTTTGAAAGCATGAATCCTCATACTGTATATACGTTTGATTGTAGAAATTACTGCTCAGTCAGATGCCAGTGAGATTCGACAGGACTGGAAACCGACATTCCTTAGTAATGAAGAGTTCACACAGTTAATGTTAGAGGTATGTTATTTCTAGTTTTCTGGGAGTAGAACATTTCCTCATGGAGAGTCATTCCATGATGAAATTTTTCAGTTTGATGATATAACTTTTTTTAGTTGTAACTGTAAGTTCTCATGAAGATGAGCAGTTAAAAATCCTATGTATGCAACGTAATGCAAAACAGTTTCTCTTCTAACTGCATTTTCAATTACAGAAAACATGATAACAGAGCAAGTCCACAAATAAACAGAACAATATAAGAATTATTTTTAAGGATGTGAGCTTTAAAATTTCCTATTTAGAATTACAGTTCTGTCATGCTTTTATGTTTGGTAGTGTTCAGCTAAAAGATGCTTGTGTTATGTTCAGTGGAAGTAAGCTTGAGTTAAGTAGAAGATAATGCAGTGTGAACTGTATCTCGCAGTTTTCAAGTCTCAATAAAATCTTGCTACAAATTTATTTTGAGATTGGGAATGTTGATTTCACCACCTCTTTTACTTGGTTTTCTCTTAGCTTTTCCATCTTTTCTTGCCTTTGTCTCTAGCTCATTTTTTCTGACTTCTCTGGTGTTTTAAATGATGATTGAATTAAAAATAACAGGCAGGCAGAGTGGGAGATGGGGGAAACAGTGGCTAGCTGTATATGGACTTACTTCCAAAACCACGGATTATTTAAGAACAGAACAGTATGGGAATTGTAATGCTTGTAGTGTAAAAGCAAGACTAAGAAGTTTTAGTGTTGAGAGTCATCTTCAATTTTAAATTTTAAATTAAAATTTAATTTTTTAAAATTTAAAATGTGTTTAAACTCTTTTCCATGTTGAATATAGCTGAACATTTTTAATATGCTCTGTTTCTTTTTATTTAACTACCCATTATGTTTAATTTCAGGCTCTTGATGGTTTTTTTTTAGCAATTATGACAGATGGAAATATAATATATGTGTCTGAAAGTATAACTCCCTTACTTGAACATTTGCCAGTAAGTACAAATCATTTTCGGTAACATATCAATTTGTCTATGGATGCTATTAATTAATCAGTAGGCTTTTTGGTATTATAGGCATTATAGAACAGATGTATGCTTTGTTCTGATGTGTCTGCTTTTTCTTCAGCACAACTCCTTCCTACTGGTCTGTCACCTATATTAAACATTTCCTTTGGAAATACAGAATGCAGTTGATACTCTATTGGGCGGGTTTAGGAAGTTTCCCTTCAACGTAGCTGAGCAACACAGTGAACTGCAGGAGACCCTGTAGTGTTCACGCCTCTCACAGCCTCTATATGAGTCAGGCACAGTATTGCTAAAGGAGAGGCCTTGACTCTGTATAAGCACTGCTCAGCAGTAACAAAAACATCCCTGTGTTACCAACACTAGTTTCCAACATAGATTGGAAACATAGCCCCATACCAGCTACCATGATGAAAACGAACTCTTCTCCAACCAAAACCAGCACAATTGTCTCCATAAAATCAATTGCAGTTGGCTACAATTATTGGCAACATAAAAACTTATATGATGTAGTGAGATGCTGTCTTTTGTTAAAAGATACAGTTTCAATGCTGCCAACAGACTACAGTGCTCTAGAGCAACATCCTATAATTTCTAATTAAAACACTCCTTTACTTGGAATTGTTGCATCCCAGAGAGGTTAATACAAGGTTAATCAACACTTTGACATGTATGTGTATCTGTAGTATTCACAGTGTTTTTCATTAAATGGTTTTCAGTGTCAAAATAAAGACAGATCAAAGTGATTTTTTTTTCCTTGCAAAATATTCTTATGTATTCCAGCAGGTGGCTTTGTTGAGTCACTAATGTTCTTCTGAACTGTGGAACTGTTTTGCACTAACGTAGTCGGTTTTGTGACATTGCTTTGCATTAGTTTAATGCTTATTAAATGTTTTTCTTTCAGTCTGATCTTGTGGATCAGAGTGTATTTAATTTTATCCCAGAGGGGGAACATTCAGAAATTTATAAAATATTGTCTTCTCATCTGCTGGAAGGAGATTCATTGACACCAGAATACTTAAAATGTAAGTAGTTATTGTGGGTTAACCCTTGTAGGCATGTCAGCCCCACACAGCTGATGGGATGAGAATAAGAAGGGTGGAAATGAGAAACGTTGTGGGTGGATATAAAGACGGTTCAATAGGGAAGCAAAAGCCATGTGCACAAGCAAAGCAAAACAAGGAATTAATTTGCTACTTCCCATCACAGGCAGGTGTTCAGCCATTTCTAGGAAAGCAGGGCCTCATCATGTGTAATGATTACTTGGGAAGACAAATTCCATAAGAACAAATACTTCCCCTTCCTCCTCCTTTCCCCAGTTTTTATTGTTGAGCACAATGTTGTATGGGATGGGATATCCCTTGAGGTCAGCTGTCCCAGCTATGTCTCCTCCCATCTTCTTGTGCACCCCCAGCCTACTCACCGGTGGGGTGAAGAGCAGAAAAAGCCTTAAGTCTGTGTAAGCACTGCTCAACAATAACTAAACATGTCCGTGTTATCAGTGCTGTTTTAGTCACAAATTGAAAACAGCACTGTGTGAGCTGCTAAGAAGAAAATTAACTCTATCCTAGACAAAACCAGTATGGTAGTTGTGCTAAAAATAATCTGCTTTGTATGCCATGTGATCAGTTCTTCCAGTGTTATTTAAGCAGAAACATGGGTGAGCCCTGAAAAACAGAAGCACTTTTTTGTCCCCCTTACCCCTGAAGAGTAGAATTTTCAGTGTTTTTAGTGCATTTCACTCTGACTTTCTTGTGTATTACAAATGGTCATCTTGTTTATATAGCTTCTATTTGGAGAGTTGCAGCAGTTGGTGAGAATAAAAACATGACAGTTTAATGGGTTTTGGAAATGCATGCTTTAGTAAACTTCAGTGTAGGGCAGTTGCTTCTTTAAAATAGCTCTGGTTTTCAGGGTAATCTCTGTGTCATTAGCATTCATGCCCTTCATTCACACATTCTAAAGGAGTTTTCCTTTAGGTTAGGTAACATCATACTGGTTAAAAGCAGGAGCTGTAGCCATTTGAAATCACAAGACTTACAGTCTCTCAATAAGTATGCAGCTTATGCTGCTTCCCGTTTTATGTTGTCTGCGCGCTTCATCAAGCATGTAGCTTATTAATTTGTTTATTCCTTTCTCAGCAAAATATCAACTAGAATTTTGTTGCCATATGCTGCGAGGAACAATAGATCCAAAAGAGCAACCTACATATGAATATGTAAAATTCATAGGAAATTTCAAGTGTTTGAATAATGGTAAGTAATCTCAGCAATGTCAGAGTGAGATTCTTAGGAGCTTCACAGCTAATGAGGCTTGAGACTATTGTGCAAAACTTAATGATGAGCTAAAATCAGTCTTTCAAAATACAGACTTGAAGCAGAGTTATATCACTTCTGTATTGCCTTGAAAAAATTAAAACTGCCCATTGGGTATTGCAGGTCTGTGCATTTGAATGCAAAACGCAGGTAATTATGCTTGATGCTTTTGGTTAAAGAAAACTAAAATCTCGTAAAACTTTTTTTTTTTTTGTAATGTAAGAGACATTTAAGCAGTGCTTTAAAATCATAATCCATACTTGAGCAGGTGCCTGGCTAACTTGAAGGTCAGTGCTACTGAGTACCTGCAGTTCTCATTATGCAGTGAGCTGGGAAGTTCACCCCCATTTAAATTCTGTGCTTTTCACTGAGAGAAGTTACCACTCAGATGTGGATGGGCCAATACAGTTTTCTGCACTGAGTTCTTTTCCCTTCCATTGAAGTTCTTTGTATTACTTATGTACTAATAGTATTCTTCTGTACTATATCTCTAACCTTTTTGACCAGCCTGTGCTGACTGTTTACTCAAAAGGCAAGTTTATTTGGTCATCTAGACAAATGGGTTGTGCAGTGTAGTCAGTAGTAGATCTTCATGAAGATACAAAGATCACTTCCCAGAATGTTATCAAACAGTATCTTATAAATTAACATTTGTGGGGCTTTTTTAATATAATACCAATATTTTCTCACAGAATTGTGAGAGGTTAAGTCTTACTGCCAAATGCAGGTATATAATATTATAGGAAATATTGGGGAAATACCCCAGAACAAATAATTATATGTGTGCTTCATGAAACTAGCAAAGAATTAAATAGCAACCATTGTGGATTTTCCAGGTAGAAATAGCTTCAAATCGATTCATTTTCCCCTAGGACACTGTGTGGGTAAGAGGACAAAGGGTAAATAAATGATGGACTTCTTTAATATGCTTTAGACAGTTAACATATTCTGTTCTCACAAACATGTCAGAGAAGCACATGTTAATTGAAATTGCTGGAGAGCAGGTGCAGAAACTGGTGGGAAAGGTTACAAATGTTCACTGTCAAAATGGAGTTCTAATGGACTACTTCTGGATTTGATCAGTATTAATGTTATGAATAATGGTACATTGTTTGCAGTCTTGAAATGATAGACGAACACTAAAAACAAGATAAGATTTCAGCCCCAAACTTAGAAAATGTGTTATTTTTGGGGAAAAAATACCCAAACAGCAAGAGACAAATTGAGTAAGAACAAATGCAAGTTGCTGTATTTAGGAGTAGCAAACTATATAAACAGGGGAAAAGGTTACAGTCAGCTAGATAGCAGTCATTTAGAAAAATGTGTTATTGTGGAATGTAAACTGAACATGACCAAATCACCATAGGCAATGTGTAAACCACATAAAATAGTCTCACTGCTCTTCTTGGAACCTGTTTGTCCTCATGTTGTTTTTGATGACTGTTTGTCAGGAGTAAGTAAAGGAGTTGGAGAGACTCTAGAGGAGAGCAATGAAAGCAATCAGAAATTTAAAAATCTAGCTTACAAGGCAAGATAAACTTTGAAGAAAAACCAAGAAGGAATAAGTTAGAGGAAGGAAATTACCTGTTTCCTTCAGAAAAGAGCAAGACAGAAAGAGCAAGTAGCTGAAAGCTTAAATTTGGTGAAGAAACTTAAGTAGAAGTTCTAATCTAGAGCTGAACTAAAACCAGTTAGGCTTGGAAGAGCCTGATGCATTTTGGAGCCACCAGCATTAGAGCCTGGTAAACTAAATTGATACCTGCTGGAAATGAAAAGTAAGGTTACTCTCTTTTGAGGTCTAGTCCATCTTTTGCCCCGCTTATGATTCCATCCATCTCTCTGATTCAGTAAGTGGAATTTGTTTGTTGTCAGCTCAGTGTCCTGATTCTGTCACGTACATCATTATAGTGCTTTGTTCTGTTACTCAGTATGTCTTCAGTTTGTGACATTTGAATGCGATGGAAGTCCAGAAAGAAAAACTTATGTCAGGTTCAAAAGAAAAACTTAGGTTCAAAAGAAAAACTTAGGTTCAAAAGAAAAACTTAGCAAAACCTGATACAAAAGCGAAATTGTAAAGATACTTTTGAAGAAGGTGTACTTCAGTAATTTTCAGTGGTTACCAAGAAGGATGAGAATTGTTATTAGTTTCTTAAAACTGCTTTGTCTGATAATATCATGTTAACTGTAATTTTAGTTCGAGAAAGTTAGTTGTTGGTTGTTTTCCCATTACTGCTGTGTAACTACTATTCCTGTGCATATATGTGTATGGATTATATGTAGCATTTTCTTAATGCACGTTAAGTTATAAGCAAACCACATTAGACAAACATTGGGCCATTTGTCTTGTCATATTACTGCTGTTTTCCTCTCTGCTTACGCTGTAATTTGTGTTGACTACTTCTCTGTCTTTCCTCAGTTCCCAACTCAGCGCAAAATGGTTTTGAAGGAACTATTCAGCGATCACACCGGCCTTCATATGAAGACAAAGTTTGCTTTGTAGCCACTGTTAGATTAGCTACACCTCAATTTATCAAGGTATGTACAATTGGAATCACTTTTGTATCAACTTCAGATGGACTCTGAACGAGAAAACTTGAGAAAGAATGCACGCAACGTTTCAAATATTATTAATCAAAACTGTAAAGAATTTTATTATATGAAACTGAAAGTGCCTGTGTTTTTTATTTAACATACATATAGGTTAAATGTTACGCAAATCATCAAATGAAGTTGTTATGCTGAATGCCATTTCTAAATAGTCATATAAAATAGTAGTATCTAAGAAATAAATTTGGGAATGTGTAGAAATATAACTTAGGAACTTAAAATGAAACATAACATCGAGATGCCACTTTCACTGGTCTTGTTGTAGTTTGACACAGCAAATCTGGTAGGGCTTAATGAAAGCTTACATTATTCGCCAGTAACCAAGAGCTGGGTTTGAGTTAATAAAACTCTTTTGTTTCAGTAGTGTTATTCAGTAACGTGGTGTTTAAAGAGAACATGTTGCTTACCTGCTAATGTATAATGAAGTGATCTTTCAAGGTTTAGAATTGGATGTGTATGAAATTTGTAGTTTACGAAGGATAATCCTGTTCCTTACCAAAATCAGTCAAAATAAGTACTTAGGATACAGTACAGGAGTCTATGATTCTGATCTAAATTACATGTTTTATACAGACATGTTAAGGTACATATATAAGGATAGTCTACTATCTAACATCTGTTCTTGCAATTCAGTTGTAAAGAAATGACATGAAATTTATATGGCACATGGTTAAGCTGTTGTCTGTCATGCTGAACATTTAAATATTCTGCCTGTAAGTTGAATGCACTGGTGTTTTAGGCTGAAGACTGATGGTGGCAGCCTTTGAAGACATAGTCTATATTGCACTTTGAAAACATAGCAGGGAGCCTGTGGAGAAATCATATAAACTTCTTAATTACCATCAGGCTTAGTAGGGACTGGATCTTTCCAGACTGCATGACAGAAAGCATGTTGTTTATTTTTCCTGAAGCTATGGCAATCTTTCATTTGACACTTACCTTCCCATGTGTGTCTAAATAATGTTCTTCCTGTTATGCTTACAGTCTGTAGAGACGTTAAATGTGTGATTTTTTGCTTTATGAAGTACTTGGGGAAGGGGAGGAAAGACCAACACAGAAATATTTGCAAATACTTTTGTCTTTTGAAGTCTGGCAGTTTAGAATGTATTATAATTAAACTTCTGTGTCTCTTACTTGTGGAGCAGGGTATTTGGAAGTTGAGGAACTATTTGAAAGTTGAGATCTGTTTGTGATCTTTCAGGTCTAGGTCTCCTCAGGGTGAAAATCTCACAGGTTATATTCTGGCCAGAGTTTCATTCCTCTGCCTGAACTTCTGGGAAGCTTTCACATTATGGAGATTTTAAGATCCTCTTAAGGGTTTTCACTAGTGCTGCTCATCTGGGAAACCTTGTGAAGAAGACTAACATTAGAGTGAAGACTTTCAATCTGGCAATACTTGTTTATATTCTGATACTTTCTGTTATTATTGAGGCTAGCATTGACTAGCAAGTAAGCGTTACGTCAGGAACTTTACCATCACAATAACTTTACCGCCAGTAATTAGATGTGTATATTAGTACTGGACTGCTTTGAGGTAGAAGATGCTGCTCATCTGCCACTTATTTAATGGTATATGGTTCTGCAATTTTTTTCCCTTGAATGTCATTTCTCAGGGCAATACAGCACTTTTGCAGAAAGCCACAGTATTCATGAGAATGATTTCTGAAAGTTCACATTTTTATTTTCTGCATATGACACCATCACTTTTGTAACAAAATATGCCACAAATTTTGCTCCCCAGTGAAGGGATTTGTCTCTACACATTCTTTAAAGCATGACTTGAATTTTGGCTGGTAAATGATAGAATCCAGTCAAGAAGGAAGGATTAATCCAGTCAAAAGGATTTTATCAGAATACTTTTTGTTACAAATGAAAGGCCTTTCTTTTCTAGATGCCTTGTTGACAACTTCAACAAGATGCTTTGTTGGACAAGATAGCTTCTATCAGGTGTATTTTATAGTGGAGTATCTGCAAATCATTAACATAAGTGCATTGAGTAACTGGACATTAACCTGCTGCCAGATCCTCTTTAACAGAGATGTTTTTACTGTGTTTTTAGTTCCTGCATTGAAGTTATTTTTACTTCTGACTTGTTGTTTCTTTTAATCTAGTTATTTGGGCACAAACCAAAGGTATATCTCAAGGATACATGCTTGCTCTGTCATTTCTTTTGCTTTGCTATGAGTGATGCTTTATTAAGTGCTATGATCTTAAAAAAGCAGATGAGCTTCAGGTTTTAGAGGTAGTTTCAATTTTGAAGGTTAAGTCTTGCTAACTGGAAGCCGCACACTAAGAGTCATAAATTTGTGCCCAGAGTGATTTTTTTTTTTAATTATTGCTACCATATTACTCACTTTCTAGTCACTGTCTTTAGATTTTACACCAGCAAAGGTGAGGAGAAAACATTACCTACATATGTCCACTTTTTTCTTTCATAGAAAAAAAACCCTTAGAAATACCTATATAGAGACCTTTAAAATGTCCACAACCTGAAAGAATGAAAAGGAAGGTGGTCCCTTTTTAAGAACAAGTTAGTTACTGTATTTCTGCACAGGACTGTTTTAGTAGTAGATGTTTGCAGAGCAGCAGTGTGCTTGTCTGTCCACATCTGTTGTGAGTATCATGTCAGTGCAGCAGCGGCTTCCATGCTGTAGTCTTAGGGAAACTTGTGATATCTGATCATCAGTAGATGCTGCACTGTTTCTGGCAATTGGAATACTATTGCAAGCTCCTACAAGTGTGACAGATATGTGCAGGTGTCTGAAAATTGAAATGATGTCTAATTCTCTGAGTATTTATATATGTGCATGTATTCCATCATCTTCTTGTTAAGGCAGTACTAGAGGCATTCATAAAAGAACAGACTGGCCTGGGGTACTTAGTTCTGTTACTCTCTCAGCATGAGGCACAGTAACTGGTGGAGCATCTTCACCTCTCTGGAAGGGGACAGTGGAAATTGCCAGAAATGCACTGATTGTGCGTATGTCCAAGTGGAATACATTTTAAATGGTGTACAGAATACCTTGAGGATTTGCTGTAATAGTGGAAATACGATCACTCTCTTATTTTTCATGAGTTCAAAACTTGAGTAGTGTGTTTTTTGTAGTAGGTGTCTGCCCTCTCAAGCCGAAGTGATTTAGAGTACATTGTATTCGCTAAAAGGAAGAATCTTATTCCTAAACTCAAAATAACTTGACCTTTTGCTAATGTTGTTTTTTTACCCATTGTAAGCATATAGTGTAATCAGAGTGTCTTTTGAGAGTGTCTCATCTCTTTTTTTGTCACAATTTAAAAGCATAATTGCAGGAACTGTTGATTTCTGCTTGTACTATTGTGTTTGTAGATACTGAGCTTGAGTTTAATCTCACACCGGGGTTGTTCCATTTAAGTCAACTGAGTGTCAGCCTGGCACAGCTGAGATTAGATTCTACCTCAGTACTATGTATCTAAACAAGTAAAAACAATGAAGCTGTCTAAAAATAACAAATACTGTGGAATTATCTACTAACTTTAGGTTAAGTCTGAATTTCAAAAGAACTGATGAATTAGACTAGAGCAGTTTTGAGAGAGATTTTTATTTTTCTACTTTTTAGGAAATGTGCACCGTTGAAGAACCCAATGAAGAGTTCACATCTAGACATAGCTTAGAATGGAAGTTCCTATTCTTGGATCACAGGTGCAATTCCTTCTATGTATAGCAGCAACAGTAGCTGAATCACGGTGGCTGTAATGTTTAGAGTTCACTAATCAGTATTAACTACTCATAACTCGTGTTGGGTTTAATTTTTAATCTTTTTCAGAGCATATACTATAAACAAGAAAACTTATATAATGAAATAATTTTGTTTGGGGTTTTTGTGTGAAAATGAAATTACATTAATTTTTCTATTAATTAGGGCACCTCCAATAATAGGTTATCTTCCGTTTGAAGTTTTGGGAACATCAGGATATGATTATTACCATGTGGATGATCTAGATAATCTGGCAAAATGTCACGAGCATTGTGAGTACAACTTAAGTTGCTAAAATGAGAAAGTTTGCTTTGTAAATGTTTGGTTTAAAGATTGTTGAGTTGTGCAACTATTGCAGTGAAACTCTGTAATACATTTGAGTGACATGTCTTTACTCCCATTCATTTGACATTATTGCACTGCCGATCTTTGTCTTTTTTCTTTTGATACAGACCTACAAAACAGATATAAGTTTATCTTAGAGTTTTCATTGTGGTAAATTGGAGTGCACAGCACTATATTACTTCTCCAGTTCTTCTAATAGCATTTAAAAGGCTCCGTGATATGTATTAAATGTAATAATTGTTTAAACATGTAATAAAATGAGCTTTCTGTTTAGCTGTGGTTTTCTTTCTAAAGCTGTACATTTTTCACAATATGTAGAAAACCCACAAAAATGCAAGTTTGTATTCTGCAGATCTCTGAAAAAATGCAATGTAGATTTATTTATTTATTTTTTTTTTTTTTGTAGAAAGCCGTGGTTTTAAATCTGTTCTTAGTCATTGTCATAATACTGGATTTAGACATGGTTTGGGGCCATATGAAGCTGGGAAATAATGGTTATTATGTAAGTGCAATATTTACAGCCTGGAAAACAGTAAACTTTATTCCTCACTTTTATAGTAATGCAATATGGGAAAGGGAAGTCATGTTACTACAGATTCCTTACAAAGGGACAACAGTGGATTTGGCTGCAAACACATTACTATATCACGTATCACCAGTGGAATTCCAGGCCAGAGTTTATTGTCTGTACGCACACTGTTGTAAGGTGAGTTATTGTTTATAAATCTGTATTAGAGAAATTGTAATGGCATGAGAGCTGTATTGCTGGTCTTTGGGAGGTAGAGAAATCCTAGCAGTTTAGAGAATCGCTGGAAAACTTCCTGAGATATTTTATGAGCAAAGTAGCTCTGAAGGCTTTGGTTTTTGAAGTACGTGTTTTTAAAGCATCCAGTAATACAGTAGTCATATTTTGGTTTGTTCTTCTAGTTACGCAGAAGTTAGAGCAGAAAGACGACGAGAACTTGGTATTGAGGAGTCTCTTCCAGAGATAACAGCAGATAAAGTGAGTGTCTTATGTAATTTTATTTTACCTCTTCTTTCTTTCCTACTTAAAGTAATATGTAAGCAAATACACAGAAATACAACAGCAGCAAGAGGACTTTATCTGTCCTGTTACAGATAAAGTAATTATTTGGATTTCTAACTAATTTGACTATGTAGCCTAGGAAGAGTGTTTGGTTAATGGTGTTCTGCCCTGAACCCTTACCCTCCTCTTTTCAGGAGTTTAAGTGCATGTAGTTGCAACATGGCAACACCCCTAAGTCCTTGTTAAGATCCGATTCCTGCAGAGATGGATTCATAAGTAAATGTTTCTCCTTACTGGAAGCACCCATAATCTGAAAACCCAAGGTCAATGCAGAATGGTGGCGTAAAAGAATTCACAGGAGGAAAGCTGGAGCTGTTCTGTTTTGTGACTCTGTCCCACTTCTTAGGAGTATATGAAATTCATTTTGAATTAATGTCCTTGGAAGCTCAGTGAGCCTTAGATAAGCCAGCTTGTACAGATGCTCTGTTGTGTTTTCCCCTGGCAGTTCAGAAATGTTTCCCCTTGGCAGTTCAGCAAGTTTCATCTGACAGAGCTCCTTCTAGTGGAATTAACTCATCCTTTCTTCAAAGAATAAGCAGCTCACTCATTACACCAGTGTTCAAAGTGAATTGAGTTGCTAGAGAAGGAGGTCAGCTCAGCAGTCAGTCTGTGGCCTATGTCTGCATGCATTTTGGTTTCTAGGCTTATGTGGAGTATATGGATTCTTTTCCAAGGATAAAAGCTACAAATGGAAACTGAGCTGAGAAACTGAGGTACCAAGCAGGCCACTGCTTCAGCACAGTCACCTGTGTAAGAGGGCTGATATTAGGCACAGCATAGTTCTAGATATTTGCTAACAGAAATGGACACTGTGTGCTGAATCATATAAAATAATTGTTGTTTATGTATGTCTTTTCAGAGCCAGGACTCTGGATCTGACAATCACATAAACACAGTGAGTCTCAAAGAAGCTCTGGAAAGGTTTGATACCAGCCCCACACCTTCTGCTTCCTCCAGGAGTTCAAGAAAATCTTCGCACACTGCAGTATCAGATCATTCATGTAAGCACCAACTGTTGAAAGTATAATTGCCATCCTAGTGAAGGTTTTCTCTACTTTACTTACTTTAATTAAATGCATAACTAGCAGTTAGTATCACTTTATGAAAAGTGTGCAGATGAAAACGTTCAGAAATCTGCTGACAACTCTGATTTTCAGAGGTAATGTAGTGACTTCTGCTTCTGGAATAGCAGACTTTAGAGCACCCTATTTCAGTCCATCAGATTGTGTTATTGTTGCATAGCCAGGGTAAAAATAGAGTCCAGGCCTTAATTTTCTTTCTATTAATGAAAAACATGCTGTGATTTGATTATTGCATTGCAGAATTGAGATTACTATTAACATGTCTCTTTCTGTTGTAACTCTGAACATTGTCAGCAACACCAACTAAAATGACAGTGGATACTAGCACTCCTCCAAGGCAAAACTTATCTGGTCATGAAAAGACTGCGCAAAGAAGATCATCTCTGAGTAGCCAGGTAACTCTTCAGAGAAAAATTTTATACTTAATCAATGGAATTTGATGTTATTTAAAAGGTACTATTAAATAACCTTAACTTTGTTTCTTCTGAAAACACATAATTTAAACTGTAACAGTGTCACGTGGAATACATGAGTATCAGAATTGTATCAATACGCATCTTTGGTATACTACATTCTAAGGGAATACAATAAGCATATAAGTATTTCTGGCATTAGTGTTTGTGAGATTGTGTATGAATCTCTGCTTTCACTTGCACATAACTTCTTTCTATAATTCTGCATTTTTAATATACATATGTATATAAGCAATTATGTATGTAAGTGCCAATGTAATGCTGTGCTCGTTGCTATATGAATTCATGACTTTAAAAATATTAGTGAATACTTTCATATAGTTTCTGAAATCTTGGTAACATGGGAAAATGTCATACTTCATTCATTTGGTACTTACGTTGCACCTAAACTAATACATTCGTTTCAAAAATAGAATGGGTATGAAAATATATATTTTTTAAAAACATTATTTTAAGAATAAATCAAAGCTGTCAACTTCCAAACTTCCTGAAAAAGTTTTCCCTTGGTACAAAGACTTTTAAAACAGTTGTAGTTGCAGTTTCTGTGTTTCACGGTTTATACCTGCTGCTTCTATATATTTTTAGCAGTGAAAAAATTGTATACCTATATATATATAATCAATTGCTTTCATGTCTGTTGTTCTGTAAGATTTAAGGTTAGATCTTTCAGGAAACATTTACTTGTTTTTTTCATATGTTCACATGATGTTATTTTGGAATTGACACTTTATGTAAAGAAATACTTCATGTCAAGTAGGAAGTTCATTCCAGTTATGGAACCATTTTTTCAATCCTAGTCTTTAAGCTCCCAGTCTCTTGGACAACCAGTAGCACAGCCAACAGTATCTCAGCCTGCAACTGTACAGCTCCAGTCTGGCATGTCCCAGGTATGTATGAAGTTGGTTTATTGTTTATTATTTTTCAAACAGTCTTATTCTCCTGCAGAAACCCACTGTTCATGGTTTGGATGGGTACTCTTCACTGGGTAAAAAACTGGCTGGATGGCTGGACCCAAAGAGTTGTGGTGAATGAAGTTAAATCCATTTGGCAGCTCATCACAAGTGGCACTGCCCAGAGCTCAGTAATGGGGCCAGCTCTGTTTAAAACCATTATCAGTGATCTGTATGAGGGGATCACATGCACCCTCAGTAAGTTTGCAGACAACACCAAGCTGTACAGGACAGCTGATCTGCTAGAGGGAAGGAAGGCACTACAGAAGATATAATATCAAGAAGGTTACACTGACTTGTGGCCCATAGTGGATATCTAGGGAAAAATAGAAGTGGCAAACATAGCTTCCCTGTGTGTTCAGCCTTCAATAGTTATTTGCATGTTTTAGCTCTGGGTGTATTTTTTTGGTAAACTGATACAATTCTAATTTTTAACCTGAGAGAGCTTTAACATCTGCAGTACTGTGTAAATTACTGAGGCTTCTTGTAGTCTTGATGATTTGGATACCAGTTAACTTCTTCTGCTATGTATTTATACTTTTTAGTTCACCAATTCTGATGATTAACTAAATATGAACAATAAATTAAATATGAGGTCTGTGACATTTTCATGCTAATGAATTTGTCATCAGATTATGGTACTAGCAGTTTAAAAAGCAGTGCTTCGTTTCTTTGCTGCTGTGGAGGAGTGTATTTACTGCTTGTAAATGTAATTATTTTTGCTCAGCTTTTCATTTATTCGTTTCACTACAGCCTGTGTTTCAGTTTTCAGCTCAGTTAGGAGCTATGCAACATCTAAAGGACCAGCTAGAGCAAAGAACACGCATGATAGAAGCAAATATTCATCGACAGCAAGAAGAGTTGCGCAAGATCCAAGAGCAGCTTCAAATTGTCCATGGTCAAGGACTCCAGGTGAGTTAGTGTAACTCTTACAGGTTTCATCTGTAGAGAATTTAGATATCTAAACTTGGGCACTTAATTCCACAAACTGATCCTCCCTATCCCCATCAGCTGCCATCTGGACCCAATGTCCCTAAAATCCATAGCATCTAAGATACTGTTTCCTGGGGTACTAACATTTTGGTTCAGGTACTGACACTGTGAGATACCGACATTTTGGTTCTGAATGTATCTGCAAGTGCCTCAGTGTATCTTTTCAGTATTGAGACCCTCAAGCCTAGCTTATGCCTAAACCTCAACATAAAAGGATGCAGTGATTGTTACTTCTTGCAAAGATTCTCAGCAATTAGAATATTAATCCAAAATGTGCAAGATGAGCATTTATTTCCTCTTTTAGCTCGAGAGTGTCAAATTCATACTTTTTGTTTCTTAAACTGTTCCAGCTGTCAGGCTGTGGTCCTCCTGCAGACCCTCCTAGTGAAGTGGTTCTACTTTGTATGGTATACTGGCATAGTTACTGAGACAGAAAGACAGGGAATGTAGAGGATGAATTACTCAGTCTAGCAGCTGACTGCCTGATTTCTGTATTTTTACCAATATGTTTTTTCTTCTAATTTTGAATTTTGTCATTCTCCTTTCAGCAGCTCTCTTTGGAAGAAAAGAATGATCCTACTGGCTTTTTCTAGTTAAAACCAACCAAACAAAAACCCCAAAAATCCCAACCAACAAAAAAAAACAAACCCAAAACCTGAAGTACCCCTTAAGGAAATAATCTGAATATTTTCATCATGGATGGTGAATGAAAAGTAAAAAAAGATACTTTCTGGAAGTGTTGAGTATGTTGCTTAAATTCTGTTGACAAGTAGGAGTTTCTGGCATCTGCCATTTTCAGTGTTTTATCTTGTCTAATGTAAGCCTGCCAGTAGTAGACTGCCTATAGATGCCTCAAAAGGACAGATTCACAGCCCTCTTCCCATGCAGTGTGGAGAGACCTTATTCAGAACTATAGAAATTAGGAAAAATATCTTAAGCGCTACACATTCATGCTACTTTATTGCCCTGTCTTCTTGTAGTCTTTGCCTAACTTTTTGTAAAGACTCAACTGTTTTTGTGCTGAATTCAGATTATTAAACAATGCTAGAAAGATCAGATGGAGATTCTGTCCTACAAAGAGAAACGTGGTCTCAAATTTTGTCTTTAGACAGTTGTAGACTACATTACAATTTAGTCTAAATAACGTTGTTTCTTTAATAATAAATATTAAACCTTATTGTTTAGGGGTCTAGAAATCAGGATTTGGATTCTTACCAGTTATAGTAGAATCTCTGAATAGTGACCCTGTATGGGAGATGGGTCTTTTGATCTTGGTGATTGCAGTGCTGTTTCATCACTTCTAATAACTGAGATCACAGAATCATGGAGTTATTAGGGTTGGATGGGACCTCTGGAGATGAATCTAGTCCAGCCCAACTAAAGATGAAACTGAATTATTAATCACTGTTCTCTTACAGTGATTTTAAATAATGAAATTTAGTTTCTCTAAAACACCTTGAACAATTAACAGATTTGGTTTAAAAGCTAACTTGTGGTTTTTTTTCTTTAAGATGTTCTTGCAGCAGTCAACTTCTGGACTCAACTTTGGTTCTGTGCAGCTTGCTTCCGGAAATTCTTCAAATGTTCCTCAGCTTGCATCAGTAAACATGCAAGGTCAAGTTGTTCAGACTAATCAGACTCAAAGTGGGATGAACACTGGCCATATAAGTACTTCTCACATGATACAGCAACAGCCTTTGCAGAGTCCTGCAACACAGGTAAAATTTTCATTCTTGATATTGTTGGATGGAATACATGCTAAAAAAAACCACCTGAAACACAACAGTTGCTTCCCTGACATTCTCCTCCCAATTTTTTTTTGTAACAATATCCTTTGAGTTGTATTAGTTCCACATTCCTGGTTTTCAGTTGAAATGCATTCATGTCCTTGATAATGCAATTGCAGATCTTGTTTTTATCTAAGACTTAGGCATATAAACAAATCTTAAGTAGCTTTTTTGAAAGACCAGTATCAGGGAACCTTTTAGCTTACCTTATTTTAAATGTCTATTGATTTCCTGTTTGATAGAACGTATAACATTGATAACAAGGTGTGCTTGAAATGTGGTCTCCAGACAGCAAATAACTAGAAAAGCATAGGAACAGGACAAGCATATACTGATGCTTCTGCAGTTTACTTCTCTACTCTTGAACAGTTTCAGTCAGATGCCGGAGGTGTGTGACATCTGTAATGTAATGGGCTTTTTCTTCTGTTTTTTCAGTTTCTTTCAATTCCATGTAAACTTTTGAAATCCACAATACCTCATAGTGAGTTCTACAGCTTTGCTTTCTGTGATACGTGATTATGTTTGTTTCTCAGACTTGCCACCCAGCTCATGCCCTCAGAAACACACTGAGCAGCAATTCGCTTTTCATCTTCTCAGTCATGCATGATGTCAAAGTCCTCTGTCAATCTCCATAGAAAGCCTTTTCTTCAAGCTGATAGTCTTGATCATTTGTGTGTGGAGGCTCCTTATACCTCCCATCTCTGTGGTCACCCTCTGTACTTTTACCCAAATTCCATACTTTCTTTCAACATTTGTGAAGAGGCAGACTAGTGGTGGACAGTGTTACCATCCCAGTAGTAAGCTAGTTCCAAGTAAGAAATAGATTGATGTGATGTGCACTTTTTAGTCTGGTCTAGCATAGAGATGCTAAAGGAGTGGAAAATAGGATCTTGAACAAACAATATGCAAGTAGCTGAAAAAATATCAAATCCTGAACAGATGGAGAAGTTAATTTAGGAGATTTTCAGAGGTCTGGGGGCCAGTTGTGAAGTATGGGCAATGACAATGAGGAAGACAGCTGTAATACCTGGGTATTTTCAAATTACAATGTCATATGTTTTCTTTTCAGCATAATCAACAAAATGTACTTAGTGGACACAATCAGCAGTCTTCTCTTGCCAGCCAGTCACAGAACACAGTCTCGGCACCTTTGTATAACACTATGGTGATTTCTCAGCCAACAACAGGAAATGTGGTCCAGGTTCCTTCTAGCTTACCACAGAACAACAACCAGAATGCTGCTGCAGTAACCACTTTTACACAGGATAGACAAATCAGGTAAATCTTCAAGAGCAATAGTCAGATGACTTGCTATAATGAAGCATTAAAAAAATCATGTGACTTATTACCTGTATATGGATACAACTGTTAAACTAAGCTTTTCCAAAAACAGCATGTTTGCAGGCTTACCAAAGCCCATGGTGTTAGAGCAGAGAATGAACCTGATAAAACTGCATTTCTTAAGGGCATGTGATGCTTGATACGGATTTTTTTCCTTAAGGGACTCCCTTTTTCCTTTTAACAGATTTTCTCAAGGTCAGCAACTTGTAACAAAACTTGTCACAGCGCCAGTAGCATGTGGAGCAGTAATGGTACCAAGTACTATGTTTATGGGACAGGTGGTGACAGCTTATCCCACTTTTGCTGCCCAGCAGCAGCAGCCACAGACTTTGTCAATAACGCAACAACAACAGCAGCAGCAAAGTCAGCAAGACCATCAGCAGCAGGTCACCACAGTTCAGCAACCAGCTCAGCCGCAGCTGACCCAGCACACCCAGCAGTTCCTACAGGTAATGCAGCAGTCTCCGTAAAGTTTTCCAAGTGCTGACATTTCCACTATTGCCAGTTTATCCTGGGGGTGCTTTATCTGAAAGCAGAGTGCTTAAAACAGTATCTATGAACAAGCATGATCCATGAGGTAAGTTTACTCGGTAGCCATTCTCTAGAATCTTACTACTTACAGGAAAGGTAGTCTTCCCTGCAGTTGTACTTATTTGCCTTATATCTTTGAATTGCTGTTCTTGCTTGAGCATGAGATGAAGAAACAGATGTTTCCCTTTAAAACTGCTTGTGTGTTCTTTGCATTCACATATTAATGCAAGAAGGTATGAGAGATGGTCTCAGAATTGGTTGATCTGGAAAGCAGCATGCAGCCTAAAGCAAGACATGTCCCATAACATGAGGTATGAACATCTGTTGTGAGACATGAACAGGGGAGGCTGAGCAGCAAGTAAACAAAGAGTGGAGAAGAACCTTGGTTTAGTGGAGAAAGAAGAGATTGGATCAAAAGAGAAGGAAGGCAAAACCCAAGGAGTTTAGAGGTAGGAAATCTTGGAAAGAACCAGAAGGCAGAAAGAATTGATGGGAAATCTACTGCCATTTGTTGATTCCAGTTAATTGCTGGCACACAGATCTCCCAGCAGGTGATGTTAGTGAGGGAGATGTAGTGGTAGCTAGAAAACCAGAGAGGAAGTGTCTCCAAGAGGACGTGGGTTAAAGGATCTTAATTTGGCCTCTGATGTTGCCTTCTCCAAAGATGAAATCCATATTAACTATCACAATGTACTTTGCACACGTTCTTAGCACTCTTAAACTACTCTGGGAATGTCAATTTAATTTGTTGTTGTTCTTTTGAGAGCATACATAATTAAAAATCCTGATTTTGCAAGTACTTCTTAATATCTGTGCTCTCCCATTTGCACTAAATTTGGGATTGTGTGCATAGGCAAGATATATGCAAACACAGTAAGTAATTGGAGGTTTAATCTACATTTCTATGCACAAGGAATGTTTACAGTTCAGTTTAGAGCTGAGTAAAATTTTCTTTCACTGTATCACTGACAGAAAACACTGACTTGTTATAAAAGTCTTTCATGGGAATGTACCAGTTCCAGTCATGCATGAGGCAAAGGCTTTTCAGCTGCAAGTTGACTCTCAAAAGTATAGATGAAGGATACCCTACTGATTTGAATTTCAGCTGTCATTTACATAGTGGGAGATTCTTGAATTGAATCCAACCAGAGTGCAGATTTGAATGTGTTCTCTGACAAGTCAGATAAATACTGTAACACCAGTGCTGTTTAGCAGGTTGGTAGTGTCTGTATCTCTGTTTCTAAATTTAAAACTTTGAACAATTTTGACCTAATTCTGTTGAAACAGAAGATTTGTGGAAGATGAAGATCTCCAAAAGTTTGTTCCTGTTCTAGAATTTCTTTCTAAGCAAAAATTACTAGTTTGTATTCAAAATATTGAAGTGCTAGAATTTGAAGAGAAGCAAATGCTCTTTAAGAAGGGAGAAAAGCGCTTTTCCTGCCTCTGCTCACTGGGCCTTCTTACAGTCTGATTGTGTAGATGCACCAGTTAATGTAGTTTAATTTCTGTTGCAGAACATGTTTCAGGATTGAGATATCTAAGTACATTTTTACCTGTCCTTAGTTGCTTTTCTTTGTTGGTTCTAAGAAGGTTAATATTAAAACTAAGTAGTATTTCCAGTAATAATAAATCTCCTCCAAAGATGCAGATTCTTAGAATGTTCATTTTGGCTGCGGGGGAATAAATGTGATCTGTGCCAAGTCAGGCACTGTTTTTTCATGTGATTGCAATGTCAGCCACCTGCATTTGTTCAAATGAATCCCTTAAGCCCTGTTATGCTCTTGTGGTTTGAAATGGAGACAAATTGCCATGTGTTCCTACCCATTGTCATGGGAAATTACGAAGACCAGTTACAACTGCTTTGATAATTGGTCAGATGCTCTAGTTAACTTTATTAGTATGAACTAATCTTTGCATTGTTTGCTCAGCATAAAAGACAGCCCAGAAGTTTAGTTTGATTGAGCCCTTATGAAAAGTTAGAAAGCAGCCAGGCCTGCAGTTTCTCAGTGCAGCAGGAAAAATAATTGTCTTCTATTTCCATGTTCTAGACATCCAGGTTACTTCATGGAAATCAGTCAGCTCAGCTTATCCTTTCTGCTGCTTTCCCACTACAACAAAGCACTTTTACTCAGTCCCACCACCAGCAGCATCAGTCTCAGCAGCAGCAGCAGCAGCCACTTTCTCGACACAGAACTGACAAGATGACTGATCCTTCCAAAGTGCAGCCACAATAGCGCGGGGCTCTGCCACTTCTCGAAGTGAACTACCACGAGGGGGCTGCTCCGCCAGCAGTGGCACTGAGGCTACAGAGGTAGCAGTACAAAGGCTTTCTGACACCACGGTGTTGGGATCAGCTTCTAACTTCTGGAATCTGTTAAGAAAAGCCACAAGATGATGACGGGGACATGGCCAACTTTGATAGTAGCCCCAGTTTCTTGTTCTAAAGGATTTGCTGCCATGTGTTGATTTGTCCAGGTGAAATCTCAAAATGTGACTGAAATGTGAGGTATGCTGAAAATATTGGGTTTTTTATCAATCCTGTACATTTTTAAAGTATTAAAATGGACTTGGAGCAATTGTTTGAATTAGCAGAAGAAAAAAAAAAACACAAATGCCAGGAATATAGTCCAAAAACCATCTAATTTTTTTTCAGATGATTATAGGACAGTAAATATTTTGAAAATGTTGTGTGAAATCCAGTTCTCTGTTGTACAGATGCTGTAAAATATTGTGTATATGTCTGCATAAAAGGAGAAAGAGCAAAATATTTTATATGATGCATGAAAATGTAATCTGTTATTTGTAGGTTTGAATATGTTTCCCTAAATTCTCACGCCATACTCAGACTAATGTTTTCCTCTGTTCTACCCTTTTGTTTACAACATGATGCATCATTATTTTTCACCCTTAATGTGGGCACAAGTCTCTTGTTTGTGCTTTGTCTGTGATGTCAGGGTTTGTTCGGTGAGGTTTAGTGTGTTGGTTTGTCGTTCTCGAGGTTAAATTATTGATGAAGCTGTTTGAACTGGTGATCATTCATCGGGGTTCAGGACATTCAGATTCATGAATATCATCCATCATTTCATAATTGATTCATTGCTTTATTTGAAAAACAAATAGGAATTTGCACTGCTTTCTTGTGGGTGGTTTGGAATTTTATTCCCCAAAGCTATCTTTTGATATAGTTCATAGTTGGAAATATTTATGTAAAAGGTTTAAAAAAAAAATATGACAGTAATTTTCAAGAATGTTTCAGTTATAGGAGTAATTTGCACAAAAATATATTTACATTTAATAACCTTTTGGGCACTTTTTAACCACTTTCTCTGTGGTGAGAATTGTAACTTGTTAAAATATGTTGGAATCTTTTTATTCTCCTTCAAAAATTAGAACTGATTCAGGGTCATTTTAACAACAACAACAAAACCCATAGTGCCTTGATTTTAATTCAGGTGATAATGTTTAACATCTTGAATTACAATGTCTTGAATCTGTAACCATTTTCAATTTTGAAGTCTTAGTACATTGTCAACCAGACTTGTCTATCTACTTCATAGATATTTCTGTAATTGTGTTGATTTTATAGTGGTCTGAGTTAAGACCATGATCATTTTGGACTGGTACTCCCCCTCAAACACTAGCCAGGAACAGAGGAGTCTCTCAAATCTCAGACTTGGAAGGTAATACTCTTTAGAAGATTAAAAGACCTAAAAGTACAGAACTCCTTTTGCAGGAGGAGGAATATTAAGCTGATTTTGTTGTTGTTGTTGTTGTTTTGGGGTGTTCTATTTTTATTCATCTTCATAGCATTTAAAGTGTTTTAGGGGAGATCGTGATTGCATTCAGCACTACCAGACTATTGATTTAAGAGATATCATTGAACTAAGACTTCAGAAGGCAACTTCACTCGATAAAGAAAATAAAAAGTTCCAACAGATATGATGTGCTATTTTAAGTAAATGTTCAGTAGGTTTTTATGGCACTAGTTTGTGGAAACCAGAACTTCAGAGGAAAATGAATAAATGCTGATAGATTCTGATAATTAAAAGTAGTAAAAGCAGTTGAAGTTAGTACTAGGGAGGGAAAGCTGGATTAAGCTTGAATACTGAGGAGGAGTTGAATGAATGTAACCAAACGATGATGGACTGGTTTGTACTACGAAACAGTTTGATTGTATTGCTGGATGAACCAAACCCGCAGGAAGGTGTTACCAGTTTAGCCAAGCATGTTGGTTGCGTTTTGACGCTAGCCTTTGCCCCTGCATGTGTCCTATCATTAGATCTTTCTTATTCCCCAGTTATAAAGCAAGCATTTGGCACCAAAAAGCACGGAAGTGAATAAGGAAGGAGAGAGAAACGGTACCAAAGAGAATCAGACTGCTTTCTGCTCCAAGAAGCCTCTTGCAACCTGGAGCAAGGAACAGATGCCAATACCAAACATAGCAAGGAATACTCCCCTTCTGTAAAGGGATTTCTAGCATTCTCTGGGTTGGAATACTTGTCAGAAACCTATTTGTGTAGAGTTCTATGTGCAGAAATCCTGCCTGGCTCTTGTATCCCTACTATGCCATTCCACCTGTTTCTGAATGAAGCTGCCTTTGACTACAGAGGTCTGTGCTATCAGTACTTTAGCTTAGTGAAAAATAGGTTAGATAAAAACATAACCAATTATAGCACTAAAAAAAAAAACTGGAAGAGCTTTAATAGTGCTGTTAAACTATTGAATAGGGGTAAAGTGGGTTTATTAAACTATTAATACTGCGAATTACAGAAAATAGAAAATCCCAGCCAGGTGGGTAATGGTGCAGCTTTTTATATAAAGCTTCATTTAAATTTTCCTTTCCCATTTTCCCCTTCCCAAATACTCTAGTGTGCTGCTATAGGTCTGTTGGTAAAAAGGCTAAACTAGGTGAGGGAGGAATTAGATGATGACGACAGCATGGCTGCTGAAAGAGAACTATAGAAATGTACGCTTTGATGAAGAAGCTTTTTGTAACCTCAGAGAGAGGTGATTCAGTTACAGAACTACCAGCTACTACAGAAAGGCTTAGAAGATGGGGAAATTCATAGAAACTGGAAAAATATAGCACACGTTTGGAAAGTTCATGCCACAAATCAGGCAAACTTCTAATAAAAGCGAGTATGTAGGACTTGGTCCTGATTCTGTGCAAGTATGCAGATGCTTTGTTTCACAGGTAGTGACTACAAAGTGTGTATCTAAAGGCTCTGCAGCTTCTCCTGTTGCTGAATCAATTGCCGAACTGTCCTTGATTTTTAATGGGAAGAGGACCAGGCTGTCACCTCTTTCTTAATCAGCCTTTTGCTTCTGCCCGACTCATTTACCACTGTCATAGACTTATTTGCAACATCCTAATAAATAGCATGATAACGGATGCTGTGATGCTGCAGATTCTGGAGCATAACCTTTAGGGGTTGACTCTGACAGAAGGGAAGGAGTCTGTTAAGGAGAGGATTGGATTTCTGAAGAAATGAGCTGGTGATAACGTAATGGAGTGAAAAGGCAGCATAGTTGCATGGAGTTTAGGAGACACATTGTTTGCCTGCAATGGGTGAGGATTTGAAGAAAAGCTTCTATGATAACTTCAGAGAAAAAGAATATAGCTATTTTTATATTATATTTAATATATATTATATTTGTATATAAATATGAAAGGATTCTAGTAGGAGCTCTCCATATGCCTTCCATTTCATCTAAAAGGTTGTTTACCTTCTGCACTACAGTTCCAGTGTGTCACCACCACCTTCTGTGGGCATCTCGCCTACTGCCAAACACCAAAATGAGTAACCCAGTATCCTTACAAGAGATAGATAGGTTTCATTTCAGCTTTATGTAAAAATGAATAAAAGAAAGCTATATCAGGCAGTTTTTCACAGAAAAAGAAATTATCTTAAGACTCAAATAGCACTTTGTTTTTGATTTTTTTTTTTTTTTTTTGTGAGTAATAACAAGCACTTTACTGAAGAGATTATTGGAAAGCAGTTTATTTAGTCAGTGAAACTGTTTAAATGGGGGGAGTGGGGGGGTGGTATCCAAGAATAACCTGCATAGAACTGTCAAAAGAGGCATTTCTGGAAAATGTTTCTTTAACACGGTGATCCTTTGAGGCTCAAAGTGCAAGGTTAAAAAGGCTTCTAAAACCGGTTGCCTTTGTGTTTTACACAGCAGCCAGGGGAAGGGATAGCTGGTGACAGCTTCCCTGGGAGGAGGGTTTGTAAATTGCACAGTAGCCTATGATAGAGAATCATCTGGAGGCTCATTTGCCTGCTCAGTAGTTGTAAGTGTCCCTTAGGATTCTAATTTGTGTGGAAATGGTCTGAAGGATTAAAGATGTGGCCTTTTTAAGATGTTGAAGTCAATTCAAGAACCATTTCTGTGTTCAGAGATTTAACCCAGGTGTTGTCACGAGGTTTTAATGTCATGGCATCGGGAGATGTCAAGTGTGTCAGATTCTCTATTTGAAATAATGATTAAAAGTAGATGCACAGTCAGGGAGCTGGAAAATGGTTATTTTCATTAAAAGGGAAAAGAGACTAGTTTTAATAATTAACCTTTTATTTTTTTACTTATCCCTGGTGGAAACAGTTGAAGAGAATGAAATGAATATGGATGAAGGAAAGATTTAAACAAATCATAGTAGATGAGACAACTGTGAGAGAACACTTGGAATTGTCTTGGTCGTCCATGAGACTGGACAGTGGCTTTTTCATTATCATGATTTTTAACACTACATTCCTTGTTTTGTTTTCGGTTGGTTTTTTTTTTAAGAGGTGATTTTAAGCTCTGCTCTGCTTCATGCTATGTCATCTGCATGAGTTTTGCCAGCATGATATGCTATAACTCAAAGGAATTGTACCTAATTAAACCAGGGGGGTGGGGGAACACAAAACACTGTGTCTGAACAAAATACTGTATGGCCTAAATAGAGACCCCAGCTAAGACTGAGAGATGCTGCATTAATAGACAATCAAGGGGTGATTATTTATGAAACACTTCTGGGAATGGTCTTAAAGCTGTTACTGCTTTGAAAGCAGTTGGTCAGTTGTTTCTTAGCAAGCAAGGTAAAAATTACTTTCAGGTACATCCGGTTGAATTTTGAGTTTTGAACAGTGTTGAGTTCACAGTGGCTTGGGTTTCAGTTCTGTATGTTTTTAACTGGCATTAGATTTGTATACGTGAAAGAAAACAAACAGAAACACCCCAGTTGATGTCAGGAAATGTAGATACAGTTCCCTGGTGTTCATGTGACCATTACTAACTGTCAATTTTTTAACTGAATAAATGTAACTCATTTAAAATCTTGCCTTTTGTACCTTCTGACGTTCCAGAAGTGGTGTTTCCGTGTCAGTTTTATCCACATTCCTCCACTGTAACAAAGGCACTCTTCCCCCCACCCACAGAACCAGCTTGTGAGAAGGTGCTTGATGTGGGTTTTACCATCTCTTCCCTACCCAGGCCAACTACTTGTGAGATGTCAGTAAAACACCCACTGTATTTCTTTTTAGCTCTCTTCTCTCTTATCTCTTCATAAACTGATGCCCCACTCAAAACACCAGAGACCTTTTGACTTGTGTATTTACATTTCTGCCTTGGAACTTACTCACACAGCACTTGTGTGAACATGCACAGCTTCAAACTGCTTTTGTATCTTAACGTGTAGGGTCCCTATTCTTGCCAAAGGAGGGAGAGCGCTGCAGGGCCTTGGCATGTGCATGAGGGTTTTATCCAGCATGGCCCTTCCCTCACTGCCTGGCATGGGCACAACATCCTCCTTTTGTTCTTTCAGCTTTCCTCCCTGGGCATTTCTTCTGTTGGGGAATTATCAAAGAACAGTTAATTTAAAGGTGTAGCTATGATCTGAAACACCAGCTGTGCCACTTGAAGCAGAGACATTTAGCTGGGAACACAATTTCAGAGCATCAGTTCTCCCTTGAAAGAGCTGGCTGATAAAGTATAACCTCTCTGTGTGGGCTAACCCTGTCTCCACAGTCCTTTTGCACTGATACAAGTGTACACATTAATAATGTGACATTAATTAAATGTTCAAGGAAAGATGGGAGGGAAATCCTGTACCTGAAGCTGAATGCGTTGAGGAGATGATAAAAACACCCATTTTTAAGGTCTGCAGTTCTTTCTGTGGTATCACACAGGGTGCCTGTGTGAAGATACTGATCTTTTGCCTTTAGGAATGTACATGTACAAGCCACCTGAGTCCCTGGAGTCAAAAAACAATGAGCTACAGCAGTGCTGTAGTTAAAGCCTGTCAACACCCATCAGCGATAAGGCTGATACTGTGTGGCCAGCAAGATTATCAGCTTTCTTGAAACTGAACTTTGGAAACACCACTACAGCTTTCCATAAAGTTATCAAGAAGAGCTGTAATTGGAACTGCTGCCACACCTGGACCAATGCTGTTCAATGGCATTTTGCTGTCATGCAAACTTCGAAACAAAACCCATGCTTATATGAAAGTGCAAGGATTAAGTACTTGTAAAGATTAGCAATCCAAAAGTGAGCTGTATTCTGAGTGTTGGCCATTAGTGATATAAATTCCAGAAGATTTCAGCTGTTCAAAGGTAACCTGTAACAGCAAAGATTTCCACACTGTTCTAGCACTCCTTGTAGCATGGTCTCCATCACTGTCAGACACTCTGGCGACAGCATTTTCACTTGGGGGGGGTACATTAAGTAATCCAGAAGAAATGCACAGTTACAATATAAGCCACACAGAGGTGGAAAACATTACAGCTTAAATGTAACCTGTACCTACCTTAGTGAAAGCCCGTAGCTGTACCTTGCTGAGGGTGCTGACTGCAGGGTCTCACAGGTCATCTATGGAAAAATGCCACGTCAGTTCGCAGGTGCTGTTACATCACACTTTCCGTGGCTCTGGACATTAAGGATGACTTGGGTTATGAGGCCGAAATCGCCTGAGCCTCATTCAAAATCAGAGATGCATCTGCTAAGCCACCAACCCCTTTCTAAGTGGGTGTTGTAAAACCACTCACATGGACAAGCTGTGGTGCGTTGGGACCTCTCACAGCACAGGCTGAATACAGCCCCTAGAGAACCTCCATGTTTCCAGGCTTGGTACCTGAGGAGCGTGTCTCAAAAGAGCAAGGCCAAGCACCATCCCGCACACATTCCTGGTTTCATTGCCCCGGGGAGAGCAGGACCTGTGCTTGCATTCACTAACATGTCCTCTGAAAAGCTGTCCTGGCAGCACAAGAGATGAGCAGTTTGCCTTGGTCTTCACTTCCTGCACACATGCAGTACAACGAGACAGTCTTCACCTAAGGATTGGATAGAAGCACCTTCCAAAGTAAAGCACGAGCTTCTCTCATTTTAAACATCTTGGTTGATGTGAGGTTTTTTCACCCCAGTAGAACTGACTCATCTCCATCTTGTTTCTGTTGCCTGGAAATGAGTAGTTGCAGGCAGCAGCACTGTTCAGCTCTTGCTGCATGCAGCTGCCGTCAGAGCTGCACATTCCTGCTTTAGACGCTGCTTTTGAGGCTCCTGTGGCCACAGCTGCAATCAGCTGAATCTCCTCCCCAGAGGGAGAGCAGCCGGATGGACAGGAAGCTGGGGAGGGGGTGGGGCAGCTGCCCGATTCCCATGCTGCAGATGCAAAGGTTTG